TGCCAAGCCTGGGGACCTGAGCTTGACCCCCAGGGCCCACATGGTGGAAGGAAGGAGAGAAGTGACCCCCACAAACTGTCCTCTGACCTCTACATGTGTATTGTGGTACGAGCACACAGGTACAAATAAATAAATGTAAAGAAGTTAAAAAATAAATAGCCTTTTGATCAGCCATGAGAACTCCGGAGTGGATAAAAAGGTGGTGGACACAGCCTCTCCAGCTGTTTTCAAGAATCATGGGCCTTGACTTGTTCGTCCAATCTGAAAGGAGCCTCATGAATAGACTGCAGCAGCTACCTCATCTGCAAATGAACTGCTTTCATATCTTGGGGTACAGGTACAAACAGCATCACAATACCCATTTTATGGTGCAGAAAACTGAGGCTCAGAGAGAGTAAACAATTTCCCCCAGAGACACACAGGTAAGATATTTAAAACCTGGGACCAGAACCAGTTTTCTGGGACCTGGTTCAACATGGGTTTTCCTCTCTTATTAATGCAATTCCCGAAATTGTCAAGAAAACTGAATTAAGAAGCACACACCTTGAGTGTCCCTCGAAAACTGTTGGCGACAGGGGCCACTTGGTCCATGTTCTTGATTGCGAAATCATTCATCTTGAAGAAAAAGCAAAAGAGACACAGAGGTTACCACTGCAGCACATTTTAAAGGTGACAGTGATACAGTGGCATCAGTCTTCAGCTGGGGGGAACACTGTAGTCAGGAGTACACATGCCTGAATGTGGAAATTCTTATTTAAAAGGCTCCAGACAAAGTAGCTCTCGAGAACCGTGGCAGTGGTGGCGGCGGGGGGTGGGGAGGGTCCTAAGAGTTCCACTTAGATGTGAGACTCCATGGGCGGCCCCCACATCCTGGGCTAGCTGAGCAAGGAGGCTGTGCCCTGAGTCTCAGCAACACTTCTATGGGCAGCTGGAGAGAGGTTAGGTGGTGCCAACCAGGGCCACAAGCCACCACCTCCTGCTGCACAGGGCAGTCAATTCTACCTGGGAACCTAATGGAAGCCACAGGGAGTCACCTGCCTTGGACCCTCCCATGGGAGTCAGGCCAGAGCACCCCTTCCCCACCATTCTCGGAGATATGCGGAAGAAACACATGGCCCTCAGTCATCCAGCCCCTCATCATCGCAGACCCTCAGCCTCTGAGTATGTGACCTCAGAACATCTCTGCTTTGTGTGTGGCACAGTTTTGCATTCCTTCAAGAAGCTAGGCCTTGCTTTAACAATAGGGACTTATACCAGAGCTGGGCTGACCACCAGCTGGCCACTGTGGCTACTGGCACTGGGCAAGGCACCTGTGGAGGGAGGCAGGCTCTGAGTGAGGATGCACATGAGATCTTAGGAACTAGAAGGGAAAAGGAAAGCATCCCAGTTCTTTGAATTATTTACTTTGTGCTTATATAATGTTGTGAATACATTAGGTTTACTGAATATAGCCAAATCAATTTGACCTGTTAAGACTGCCTCAAGCACACTGAAGAGAAAAACCAAAAATGTAACTTGCAGTGGGACTGAACATTTTTCTGGGGCCCTAATGTGTACTTCTGGGTCAAGCAAGTGATATGCTGAACGAAATCAGGCAGGCCTTCAATGACACCACCAGAGTGGTGGAGACCGAGCCACTGAACCTCATGTCCACTCACCAAAGATCAGCACTCACCGGCGGCTCCCCACCCTCCAAGCTACAGAACAGGAGCCACCCGCAGCTCCTTGGTGTTACCCCTCAGCGGCCCACACCTGCTCCCCTCCATGTGCACCCACCTGTTAAACAAACACTTTCACTAAAATGAGTGTGCAACTGATAGAACTCACTAGAGGCAGCAGATAGCATAATCTTAAAGAATGATTTAACTTGCTTTGTTCTTTTCCCTGTCCTCTTTACAGTCGACATAATGGCCAAGGCAGGCGTCTTAACAGTTTCCTACTAAACACAAACTCATGTGTATAGACTGATAGGCACGTGTGCACACATGCACACACTTACACCTTGATAAAAGGCAACAAGGGCAGAGAAAGGGGCCCTGGGGGAGGCTGTTTGGAGCTCAGATATGCAGACCTGGGCTAACGTGGCTCACAGATGCTGCGGAGCACCTAAGGAAGGGCAGCATTGGGAGAAGGCAGGGTAGGGCTGCCCGTCTCCACAGTGAGTACATTTGTTCAGTCTCCCTTGGAATATGATCTTGTCTACACTCACTAAGGATTCAATATTCTCTGCAAACCAATGCTGCCACGACAGAATGCCTAGCTCCCAGCTCCTCATGTGAACGAAGCCCCAAGTCCCACCTCCTCAATCCTCCTGCATCCAGGTTCCAAACGTTAAAATCACCTTACAGGGAGGCAACTGGAGCCTTGATACTGAGTCACTGGCCTGGGGCCACACTCCTCCGGGGCTGATTACACCTCAGGTGAGCAGGGCCTTAAACCATGAATGACTGGGCTCTCCCTGCTACATCCCACCGGAGCAGAGAGCACCTAACGACAATTAAAGCAGGCCTTCTTGCCACAACCCTGTGAAATGCTCACCGACTGAGAACTTCATGTCGCCTACTTTGAGGGAGTCAGCCCTGTAACCTGTTGACTAAAAACAAGCCTCAAGCAGAAAACCAATCAGAGAGCCAGAAATGTCCACATGGTCCCTCCAGGGTCAGGGCTTTCTGTTGGACCAACGTGTGTGCAGACACTTGTGGACTTAATTTTGATTTTTAGCTCCTGAGATGAATGGCCGTGGAAGGCCGGGCAGAGCGTCCCTGCCTTTTGTGTACAAACAGGAGGAGAAAAGGGAGGTTCCCACTCCCACATAAAGAGCTGTAATTACCAGCTGCAGAACAGGGTTCCTTTGTTGGCCCGCTTTTAATGAGTTTTGTAAAAAACCCTGTAGAATTAAAGTGCTCTACTAAATGGCTTCAGGCAGACACACAGCTAATCAAATTTAAGTTCATTTATCCTACTGAATGTGCTTGCTAACTCCTGGGACAAGTCAAGACTCTAGATAAATGAATTTTCAAGTTTAGACCCTTTGGTACTCGGGAGACTAACTGCTACTTGTACTTTAAAAAAAAAAGATTAAAAAGAATAGGAGTAAATGGCACAAACGTAATGCCTGAGAATAGTTAAGTTTTAAAACAAGAATTTCACTGACAACTGTATCCTTATTGGAACAGGTAACCACTTACATAAGCACAGGTTTGTATTCAGGTAAATTTCAGAAGAACAAAACCTTTTGAAAGTTGCTTTGCTTTTCGCTTAGAACGCGATCAGTTTAGAGAGACGAATGACTAATTCCAGATATGAGAGTTAGACTATTTCCCTGTGGGGCCTACGGTGTTCAAATTTACTGTATTGTGAGATTACTCAGAATTTTAATAAAAGCTTAACACTGAGATGTATCTCCCGATCGGTGGCGGTGTGGGCAGGCAGATAAGGCACTGGAGCTTCCACAGCAGGGAGCGAGTCTATCTCTTAACTGATGGATTAAATGACTCCTGTCTCCAACCAGGATTGCTCACCGCTTTACTTTCTAAATAAGTAGCGAGTCAACCACTATTTTAAGCTCCGCTGAAACTGAGTGCAGGTTAGCACAAAGTCTTACAAGATTAAAAAATAAACAAATAAAAAAACAGGTCAAATATACATACAAACGCTTTAGGTTACACCTTCATTCATATGCTTTAAGGAGAAAAAAATAAAGGCAGCGCAGCCATGCGCACCCCCACTTGGCCGCTGCCCTGTGCGCGGTTCGCAGGGCCGGGGCACGGGGGCCCAGACCTGGCCAAGCAGGTGACACGTTCCTGGGAGTCGCAGCTTCCCAGGTGTTTCAGGCTCCGGACACCCCCACATCCTCCCAGGCCTAGCGCCTCCCGGAGTCAAGTCACTCCAAACCTGGGGCTACCTCGGCCACCCTCTTCGGATGCCCCAAGCCCCCTTGAGAAACGCAGTCGCGTGCCCCGGGCAGCAACCGTACCAGGCGGGCACTGGCTTCCCCAAAACAAAAGCGGGCTGCCCACGCCCTGCCCGGTGCCCTGGTCCCTCGCCGAGGCCACTGGGTGCCTGAGAACCAGCCGGAGCGGCTCTGGGACGCGCGATCGACCGACCGGCTGGAGCAGGGGCCGTCCGCACTGCACCCCACCCCGGGCGGAGTCCCTCCCGCGGACCGTCGAGCACCGGGGGCCGCTCTTACCGCGCCGCAGCTGGCAGGGCCGGCCGGAGGGCGGCTGTGAGAGGAGATCGCGGTGATCCGGGCGCGCGAGGCCCGGCGAGGCGAGGGCCGGTCCGGGCGCGTGGGGCCGGGGGCGATGGCGGGGCTCGGCGGTGTCCACTGCGTGCTCAGAGCCGCGGTGGAGGAAGTAACCAGCCCGGTCTCTTGGCCGCGCGCTCTTCTGGAGCTGGGGGAGGGCCGGAGGGGACCGGGGGAGGGGACAGCAAGGGTGACGGGGAGAGCGGGGAGGAGGAGCGAGCTAGAGGCCGGCGTGGGAGGAGACCTGTGCTCCCGCAGTGGCGGGTCCACGCTCCTCCCGGGGCCTGCCGTGCGCCCCTGCAGCCCGCTGTCGCCTGCCTGCTGGCCTCTGCTCCTGGGGGCCCGGCTCGGGCCGTGTGCCCTGGAGGTCCAGCGGGAAGGGCAGGGCCGTGTCCTCCTGCGTCCCCGACGCACGGCTGCCCGCAGGTCCAAGCTAGTGGAGGTGGTGGCACTCAGGTTAGGCGGTTAGGCTTCTGCTGTGGAGCCGGCCCTGTGCTTGGAACTACGTGTGGATTCTGATCCCTGGTCCTTCCGTCATGAAAAGGCTCTTACGTGAGGTTAGGGAGGCGCAAAGTGGGCGGGTGGCCGAGTCGCGAGTGGAAGAGTAGAACGTGGCGTAGCCGCCTGGCTCTGGGGAGGCCCCTCCTACCGCCTCGGTAGGCACGGCGCCCCCTAGAGCTGAGCCGAGTCTTAGCGCTAACTTGGCCGAGCACCCAGTCTTAATAATTCTGGAAGGCATTGGTGTTCTACTTTACCTAGTCTACCAGGTCAACTACGTGCCAAGTCCAGCGTGGGTCTCTCGGAATCGTGGTCAAAAACACCAGCCATAGAGTAGTTTCCACGTTTATCGGAGAGTGGCGAGTCCATGGTTGGGAACCTGTGCGTTCGCTCTGCAAGCACAGATGCATGTTCAGTATTGAGTAGAAAAGTTTAGGTGGATACCAGCGATGAATATGAATTGGCAGATGTCCAGCTTAGGCAAGGCCGTGGGGTTGATAATTGGTACATTCCAAGGTCAGCCTTAATGGGAAAGGAGTAGAAGGCCTCCAGCTTCCCTGGTACTCAGGGTTCCTGGGTTTCCATGGCAACTCCCCCATCTGAAGTTATTGGCCAATTGAGTTACTGATGCACTTGATAGTTCTCTCTGGTATATCACCTTTTCAGGAGTCAAGGCCGGATCCGCTAAGCTAAAACAGCTGCGTTCGGAGGGAATTGATATTTCCTCAGTGTGTACTTCCTCACTGGCTTCCCAGTGTGTGTTCAGGTCTGGACCAGAGAACTCAGGTCAAGGAGGAACTCCATCAACAGACACAGATTCCCTAGTCTGTTACCATGGAAACATGGAGCCGCATATGTTAACTTTTTTTTTTTTTTTTAGCTGTAGCAGAAGGTACTGACTTGTTTGCACTCCAGTGCCAGCTGAAGGAGGGTGTCCTCCTGCCTCCCTCTGCCCGTTCTCACACCTTGACCGTGTGTCCGAGAAGCTTGGCACACACAGAGCGATCTCCTGAAGCTCGGGTACCCCAAACAGGACGGCTTTCTTCCTTCATATGTGCTCTAGAGACTGCGGTCGCTCGTGGCTGGGTGCGGAGGGGCTCCTTGGTCACCAAGGGCCTTCTTGAGCCAAGACCGCGTACCTTTCAGGGCTGCTCAGGCCGACCGTTGGACGGCAGCACTTGGTAACGCTGAGCAGAAAGCTGCAGAAGTTGTCACATGGCCGTCACACACAGCACCTGCGGTGAGTCACCGAGGCCAGCTAGCAGGGCTGAGAACTCCGTAGGGATGGGCTCCACATAATAGAGCAACCTTAGCTTTCCTTGGTAAGCATTTTAGGAAAATCTCTGGGGAAAACAAAACCAAATCTGTCGTATACATGAGAGGGAAGGAAGGCATTCGAGAGAGCAGCCCCGACCCTCATAGTTCTGAGTATGGGAGACCTGGTCTAAAGCAACAGTGGCCAGAAGCATGGACGCCAGACCTGTGAGGGCTCAGGGACGGCAGGCACCTTTGTCCTTGGGCTTGTCCTCTGGAGAAGGAGACCTGGGTTGGCCCAAGCGGCCCCACCCGGCCCCTGTTTGGTGGTTGATCCACCTTAGCCTTGGGCAGTTACATGCTTAGGAACATTGTAATGTAACGGATACACAGTCACCTTTTCTGATTGTTTTTCCCCCTTCGTCTTCTTGGGCGGTCTCCTAGTTACTGAAGCCTGGCTGAGCCCTGTGATTATTCATTGACTATTATGGCTCAATTCACAGGGAACCTGGGGCCTTCCTGCAAATTGAATCTAATAAAAGCACACCCCTTGTGCTCTGAGATCAAAAGTCAATGGTTTTAGGAGGAAATGGAAGATGGGAAGGTTCCTAAGCGGAGTGAGCAGGTGGACTGCGGGGGCGGAGTGTGAGGGCGAATGTCTCCCTTCTCTGATCAGAAGGGAGACATAATATGAAATAGCATAAATACGAAATACCTAGAGAGTGAAATGTAGACAGAGTTCTTTAGGATCTGGGCATAATTATGAAAAAATGATTAACTCACTAAGCCATCCTTTTCAAAAACAGTGTGGTGCAGCCTCCTGGGAAGCTGGTTTGTGTTTACCTTGTGATCCTGGTCAATAGCACTGTCTCGGGGGTTCCCAGTTCCAAGTTAAACATTTAGTCTGAGGTGTACCATTTATTCACTCAGCAAACACAACGTGAGGTGGGGCGATGACAAAGAGGACTGAGGCTTAGTTCCTGCCCCTTGGAGAAGCAAAAGGAAAGGAAGGATTTGAAGAGCCCACACAGTGTGGGACCCTTTGAACCCAGAGGGCGGGGAGGCAGAGGCAAGTGGTGAGGCCTGGAATGTGTGGAAAGGCAGAATTGCCCCAATTCATGTATGATCTGGAATGTGTCTGGGAGTAGGGACTAGTCTACTGATTCCCAAAGCCCACTGATGTTGGGGGTCAAGGCACAGATAAAGTCAGGCTTTCTAATCCCACACCTCACCAAACCAGTTTGTTGGCCTGCAAGGGTACCAGGAATGCTGTATGAGGTGGGATCAGCAGGGCTTCTGCAGTGTCAATATGGACAACTCTGGGAGAAAAAAACCTTTTCCTGCTGTCCTCTAGCATGTTTTCTGCTGGCCCGAGGCCTCTTGTGTCTCTCAGGGCCCTAGGCTCCTTGCGTAGCTCCTGCTCTCCTAACCTCTGGGAGCAGCTGTTGGGCCTCAGCCCTGCCTGGGATCACCCTCACTCAGCCTCCTGCTGGCTACACAGCTGTGGCCCTGGGGGCAAGTTTCCTTACTTCTCTGGTCTGAGGTTCTACTGCAGTCCCTTGTTTCCTGAGCTCAGAACAGAGGTGGTCACACAAAGAACAACTCCAAACTGAAAGTAGGGAGTAACAACAGCCATTTCCCTGCCTAGGGAGGCCTAGTCTCTGCCTCCCAGCCTTACCCTGGTGGACGCGGACAGACAGACGCTACCCCCCTCACAGCAAGGAGGAGGGGTGAAGACCTGTGTTATCAACAGGCGTCATGGCTTCTTTGATTTTCTTGGCTTCAGTAGTTAGAGAGACCAGGGATTGAAATGCTGAATTTCGAAGCTGGAAAGCTACAGAGCCAGTAAATAAGGTCAATGCCTATATTTACAGAAAAGGAAACTGAGGCCTAAGGAGGTGTGGTTCCCTTCTCAGGGACATTTGGCAGTTTCCATTCAAGACCGGACCACGCTTCTGGCCTCGGCGCTGCCCCGTGTCTACCACACCATCACCCTACACAGCTGTTTTCCTTATTAGGCTAAGGATCTCTTCTTGCAGTGCATCAATTTGAAAATCCACGGTGATGTGAACCTGCAGGGAGGTGTGCCTTAGGCATGTCTGAACAGCTGAACTCATAATAAGGACCCGTACTATTTGTAAAATTGATAATCTCTAAATAAATGTGTCTGTGCTGAGTCAGACCTGTACAGATAGATGGTTTCTAAGTTTTTTTTTTTTTTCTCTCTCTGAATCAAACATGACTCCTACATTTGCTCTGAGTAACCAGGATCACTGAACCACAAATAAACTAAGTTGGTCATGATTCTGTCAGGCCCACCAGCCAACGCTTAAGGAAAGTTCAGTCTGTGACATACCTTCAGAGACGAGACAAAGCCTGGATTAAGGTGCGAGCTGGATTAAAGACCAAAAGAATAAAGTAACAGGCTTAAGTAAGCATGGGAAGAAATCATTAAGAAAGTGGGGTAGTTCAGTTTCAAACCTCCAAAGCCATGTGCTCAGTAAACTGATGTAGAAGGGGTAAGCTCGGGTGTTTGTTGTGGTCACGGAGAACTGTGGAACACACTGGAGAGTTTATGAACAGTGGGAACTCAGGTGTCCCAGCTCTGGGGCCTGGAAGTCTGAGATGAAAGCGATGTCTTCAGAGTCTGGTGATGCCTCCCAAGTCTGGTGATGGTTCCTTGGCTACTGTGAGACTCCGCACTCCCTGGAACACGTGTTCTTAGCAGCGTGTATCTATTCCAGAATAGCCGAGCTACAGACCCCAGTTTCCACGGCTGTGTGGTTACCTCTCCACGCGCTCCGCTCCAGGGGCATGCTGTTTTCAAGTGCAAAACCCACCATCTGTTCCTTTTACATTTACATTTTATTTTTATCCGTGTGTGTCTGCATGCCCAAAGAGGCCAGAAGAGGGTGTTGGAACCCCTGGAGTTGGAGTTACAGGCAGTTGTGGATGTAACAGCCTGAGGTGGATGCTGGAAACTGAACTTGGGTCCTTTGGAAGAGCAGGAAGCGCTCTTAACCACTGAGCCATCTCTCCATCCCCAGTGCAGCCGAATTAAATACGACTTTTGCTGCGGTCCAAGCAGGAGGAGGGACAACCCCCTTTCTTAGTTTTCAGTGAAGCAGATCAACAGCCCTAGTCTTCTGGAACATTCTTACAGAACGCTGGAGTTACCTGCAGTCTCCTACCAAAGAAGCACTCCAGCTGTGCTGTTGCCAACTTGAAAGTCACAGGTTTCAAACAAGAGATTCTTTTTCATTTTGCACAGGGACATCTAAGGTGCAGGAAGCCATCCGTCACTGCTGTGAGCCAGGTGGTGGCCCCTGCTGCAAGGGCAGTCTTGCTGATCCCCCACTCTCTGTCCTTTTTATTGTGGTCAATTGTCCCATTTCTGTTTGCAGGTACAAGGGAAGTGGCTGGTCTGTTAGAATGGCTGAGCTGTGTGGGGTGTTTGACACCACGGTGAGGACATGACTCCATGTCCCTTTCTGGCACCAGCCTGAGTTGGGAAGAGGCAGGAGGCCATGGTGACAACCCACCAGGAGCCGCACTCCAGCCCCGTGTGTCCTGTCTCAGCCCCTAAGCCTCGTCCTTCCCGGCAGAGTGGGGAGTAGCAGAGCCTCCTCCAGACACTTGGCCACCCCCAAAATAGCTGGGCTCTGTGTCGGGGGGAGACAATGGCAGCCCTCTCCCGGCACTGAGCCTGAGCATATGTGCTTCTTGGTAGCAAGTGTGAAGGCTGACTAAACTTAGCGAGTGTGCCTCCCGCTTCTTCATTTCCATCCCACCCTTTGGTTTGTGTCGGAAGGAATGGACTGTTTCCCTGCCAAGAACCACCTGCTGTACTTCAGTGGGGAAAAAAGCAAGCATTTGACATTTAGAAAATGACTTTTCAATAGAACTTGTGAGTTTGAATTCTTCTATAGATGTCTACCAGAGTGGTGGTGTTCCATCAGTCAGCCAGCCCTTCCTCAGCTAAAGCCTTCTAGTAGCTCTCATTTAACTTAGAGAAAAGCCAGAGTCCCGTGAGATGCCTTGAGACCCGGCTGTCCATGGGCCTCCTCCATGGCTCCTTTTGGCTCATCTCTTTACAGTGACCTTCTCCTCACTCTGGGCTGTTCTACTGGCCTCAGTAAATCCCCCAACTGCCAGGCAAGAGGATTCCTTGAGTTTTTCCCTCCCAAGACTTTACTCCCTGGTCCTCACCTGGCTCCCCTCTCAAATCCACCTTAGCTAAACTAAGCCACCTGGAGACCTTCCCTGGCCTCAGTGACACTTTTCCAACTTACTTGATGGCAGTGTGTAGATTTATTTATTTTTCTTAAACCCCCAATGTGATGTAATGTTCTTTTAAGTTTAGACTGTTGGTTTTGCCATGCAGGAGATGAGTTCTTGCCCCTTTGAGGCAAGTGTTCTTCTACTGAATTCCCTAGTCATTTCTTTCAATTGATTAATTAATTGTTTTACCTTGTTAATTAATTCTTTGTCTCTCCAGCATGTATTCCATTCCATTAGGGTCAGAATTGTATGTGGTTTGGCATTACCTTTCTGTGGTGCTTGGAATGCTTCCTGGCATGGCATTTAATAAATATCTGTGGAATAAATCACCCCAACTATCTTCTGGATGGCTTTTTTGTGACCTTTCAAATGGAAACGTAAGATGTCAGTTAGCGAGCACTGACATAAAGTTCCACCAGTTAAAAAGACACGCTGTGCAACCTCAGTCAGTCTGTGTTCTGTTGCTGCAGTGAGGCATTCGAGACCAAGTCACTCATGAAGAATAAACTTTCATTAAGCCCACAGCCGTAGAGGATGGAAATCCAAGAGCACGGTGCTGTCGGGTGAGGTCTTCCTCCTGCCTTGGGGGTTTGTTTGTTTGTAGTTTCCTTTGAATGTGTTGTGTGGCATCACTAAGGCCATCTTCACGCAAGTGCTCAGGGTACTTGGAGCACGTCTGCTGCACCCTGTTGCCCTCCTCGTCCTCCCCACCCTCTCCCTTTGACCCTTTCCCCGAGTTTCACATCTGCCTGTACGGAGCCTGTAAGGATTGTGTTCTTCCTGCTACGGAGCACGGCTGTGGTACCACGAGAGGAAGGGACACGTCAGCGCAGCTCTCTCCTTAGAAAGCCTCTAATTCCACATGGGTCCTGCTTTCATGACCTCATCTCATCCTGAAAACCTCCTGAAGGCCCTACCTCCAAGTACCACCAACGTGTGAATTTAAGGATTAAGGGTATATAATTGATGCACTTTTGCTAACTGGTGAAAACTATAACGACAGAATTCTCATTTATATGGTGTTTTGATTAATTAATTAATTTTTGCATTTATTTAATGTGTGTGTGTGTGTGTGTGTGTGTGTATTGGGAGGTCAGAGGATAACTTATGGGTGTCATTTCTCTTCTTCTACCATGTGGGCTCCAGGGGTCAAACTCAGGTCGTCAGGTCAGGTGACAAGTGCCTTTACCCGCTAAGCCATCTCATCAGCCCACCATTTATATCGTACTTTTATTATTCCTGGTCACAGCCTTCTGTGACATTGCTCTTCTGGAAGGTATCACCACCTCCAGTGTAAATCACTTGCCCTAAGTCCCAGAGCCAGCTCCCAGAAGCTCCCACACTAGCTCTGAGTTTTTCTCTAGAATATTCTCCCATATGAGCAGACAGAATAGACTTTAGGTGTATGTGGCCCGTGACACCACCCCTCACCCCTCTCCCTATGATGGGTAGAACAGACGTTGTCAAGTGTGAGACGTGACTAGTGACTCAGTGGCCCTTTGGCCCTCTGCTCTTTATACAGACATGCTAGCTGTCGACGCACAGGGATGCACGACCTCCCTTTGCTTTGCAGAAGGGTACAGGTTTGATGTTCTTTGTGTTTGTTTTCATGATTCAGGAGCCTAGAAGCCCCTCGAAGATATGTTCCGGAACTTGGAGTCTACGTTGCCTCAGCCACGTGGCTAGCATGAACACCTCAAATATAGCCTACTGCCAGTCTTGCATTCCACTGTTGGGTGCACAGAGACTTCCCACAAAGGGTGGCAAGTGTGGTCCTGAGGGGAGTGACGGATGGACCCTGCCCACCTCTGTCTAGTAGCTGATGCCGAGGAGTATGACCTTATTTGGGTAAAAAGACTTTGCAGCCGCAGTAGGGATCTGAAGATGAGTCTACCCTGAGCCACTCTGATGGCGCTTGAATCTAGTGACAATATCCTGAGGAGGAACACACAGAGCCCAGGCAGAGACAGCTAAAGATGGTGGTAGAGATTATAGTGATGCAGCCACAGCCAGGGGATGCCTGGGGCCACCAGAAGCTGGGAGAGGTGAGGAAGGATCTTCCCTGGGGGCCTTCAATACTGTCAGGGCCCTTGCTGACACCTTGGCTCTGGACTTCTGGCCTATAGAACAGTGAAGCAATAAAGTTCTCTCATTTAAAATGCTTGGTTTGGCCAATTAGTATGACAATCCGAGAAAATTAGTACAGTTCTCCTGTGAGAAGCGGTCTTATGATGCAGAGAAAGTTGGGAGCACAATGGGAAGTCAAACTTTCTAAGAAAATGAGGGTTTTATCAAGTCAGTTGGAGGTGGAAACAAAATTTTAAGGTGTAAAGAGTAAAATGATTAACGAGGCAATGGCTTAGTGCTCTCATTTCTCCACGAAAATGAGAACAGCCCAGTGTGGTGGGTTGTGGCTTTAATCCCAACATTCTGAAAGCTGAGGCAGATGCTCAAGGCCTGACAGATCTGTAAGAGGGTTCCAGGCCAGCTAGGGCTACATAGTGAGACCCTGTCTACAAAGAAAGGAAGAATGAGAGAGAGAGAGAGAGAGAGAGAGAGAGAGAGGATTTCTAAAACCAGCAGTAGCCAGTGGATCAGCATTCAGTTTATAGAGGCAATTATATGTTGGAATGCTAAATGCAAGCCCCAGGGGATGACCAGTCTCTACAACTCATATGGAAGAAACATTGAAAAAAATTAAGAGCTTATAAATTTAGATCAATAGCTTGTTAATAAAGTAGGAGGCACAAACAACTTTCCTCTCCCCAAGTGAAAACACTGGTGACCCCGCTTCCCAGAAATTCACACAATAGGGTCAGGGGACAAGAAAATAAGAAAGTGGAGGGATCGTGTGGGCTTTCCAGCCTCTGCTATCTCTAGGTTCTCAGAGCTGGGAGTCCAGTCTCAGTAAGGAAAGCCAGCTCTGTGCACGTCTAGTCTGAGCTGCCCCCTGCTTTGACTCCGGGCTGCGGTGCATTCGATCTCCTCTCACTCTGGGCTTCTGGAGGAGGCTGCTCCCTTGTTTCGTTCCTTCAGGCTGGGCCTTTGCCCTGCCTGGTGTCCTTGTTCCTCCCTCATTAGGTTTGTGCTGTCCTACCTTGCAAGGCTAGTCCCCGGAGTAATCACCTGCAGACCATACTGGGGGTCCTTCCTATCTGTTGATCTGCAGGAGGGCTGGCATGCACCCAGAAATTCAGTCATACAGAGCGGCACTGCAGAAATCCAACCGGGTGACCAACTGCCACAGGATCAAAGACAGAGACAAGCTCATGGCAGAGGTGGAGATGTCATGTGACAAAGCTTTTCCTAGGGAGATGCAACACACACACACACACACACACACACACACACACACACACACACACACACACACACACACACGTGTCTAGTCACCCCAGATAGGGATCTTATAATAGACCAAAGTACAGATATCACCAAAGTTCAATTTGGTGAACCAGTGAGTTTTATTGGAGTTACTTATAGGAATATGGGTGAGAGGTCACTTACAGAAATGACTCAAAGACAGCTGCGTCACCCAAGCCCACCCCAGCACGGGTGACAGCTCACAAAGCTGGGAACCTGGAGCACACTGCACAGCCTGCAGGCAGCTCAGCAGGTTGGAGAGTGTCCTTTCCAGGTGTCTCAGCTGGCCTAAACCTCTTCCAGGCAGCTGGTCTGGTTTCTGCTTCTTCCAGGCAGCTGGTCTGGTTTCTGCTTCTTCCAGGCAGCTGGTCTGGTCTCAGAGTCTTCTTTGCAGCTCTTCTCCTCTGAGAGGCATCTTTGCGGCTCAGCTTGTCTGGGAGGGACTCTCAGCTTTCAGGGTTTATGTTTTGGCAGGGAGGGTCCTAGTGAATCTGGTCAGTTTCAGGGACTTCCTGAAGCCATTTTGAGTTTGCCTTCCTGTTTAAAGAGCTTCTCTTCAGGATGGAGTGTCCACCCCTTCTTCCAGCTCTTACATTCTTTCCACCTCCTCCTCTTCAGTGATCCTGGAGCCTTGGAGGGGGTGACTATAGATGTCCACCTATGGGTAAGAAGCAGGCCACCATGCTGCACAGTAATGGCCGTTTGTTCTCAGGGGCTTCAGGGGTTATGTGTTGAGACAGACAACGACAGTGATCTATGGGCATAAACACACAAGCTACGGGTAGTTTGATGGACACATCACATCCATCCGTAAAACCATAGAAGTAGCTTTCCTGTTGGGACTTATGACCTCCCTAGCCACAGGTTTCTGTTACGGCTTACAGTACCAGATGTGAAATCCCCTCTTGTGTAGCAGGCCTTAAATCCAATTAAAGGCTGTTGATCTTACTCCTGATAGCCAAGCCACCATTGTACAAGCAGGAACATCCTGCCTGGCATTTCAGTATTTTAGCACACAGGGATGTTGGTGACAATTCTCCATCAGCAGCCTGTATGGCCCGCTCTGACAATACACAAGCCAACCAGCAGGGTGGGAGTTTCCAGTTCACCCCCAGCTTATTTTTCCCCTGCCCTGCAGTCAAAACATGCACATGTGGTGTCTCAATAGGGTCGTACTGCCTAGTTCCAGCATATAACCAACAGCAACACCAATAGCTTTTATGATTTGTGACCTCGGGGGCTTCCCTGGCCGACAACTCACAGGAAGGTAGCCCACTGCTGGCACTGGGGTTTTCACTCAATACCCGAATGGCCTCTGGGGGTGTCCCTTTCACCCATGTAGGTTGCCTTTTGGATTTACACTCTAGCTGCTGTCTTAACAACCTATTCTTCCTTTCAGTTAATCCAGCACAGTAGGGTTGTAAGGTAGGAGGAAGTGTCACTGTAACTGGTTGTCCCTCCAATAGCTTGGCTTTCCAAATCTAAAGAACACTCAGGGGCTAACGTTATGTCATCTGTATATCGAAGTCTTTTTCAGAGGATGGGCGGGATAAGGCAACATCTCAAACCGCCGTCCCATAACAGATAGTGGAGTCATAAAGGTAACCACCATCAAAGCCTGTTGGCATCTGTTCTCAGCAAGGGTCAGGTGATCCCAGAAGCTCACAACTAAGGTCACTAAAGTGGAACATGAGCAAGGTCTAATACAGCATGGAGAGCTTGCATCCATCTGTATCAGTTGCTTCCTCCACAGACCAAGGTTGGGTAGGAAGCATGGAGAAGAGGCGCTAACTTAATATGCTCCCTGTCGCCCTTGGTCATTCTCTCTGAACCATTATATTTCCACATCCTGGAGCTCTTCCATGGCGCCTCCCTGCATTTCTGCATACTTGATGAATTCAGCGGGTCTGACAATCTGCTCAGACCTACTCAGGGCCAAAGGGGAATCTGGTCTGGCTTTCCC